TAATAATATAAATTTATTTTAAATTCATTAAAATTAATATATTTCTATTTAAAAATATATTATTATATATTTATAAAAATTTATGTGCTCAAAATACAAAATAAAAAAAAAACTAAAAAATCTTGCCCCAATTCAGGCTCGATTCAAAAGCACATGGCCAACTTTTTGCGCTGTAGACACCCAATTTGGTCCAGGCCCGGATCAATTGGGCCTGGCCTAAATGGGTAAGTCCAATTGTATCTTGGTTATTATTATTATTTTTTATTTTATGTATATCCTATATATTTATTATTTATTTATTATTACTAATATATATTTTTTATTTTTATCTTTTATTTTATTTATTTTCGTATTTTTATATATCTGATATTATTTTTTTATTTATCCTATAATATTTTTTTGATTTATCTTTTCTAATTATCTAGTATTTTTTTTTATTTGATTTTTGGAGGGCTAGGATTGAAAGTGGAAGAATCCCATTGTGAATGAGAATTCAATCAGAAGAGTCCAATTGGATTCAAAGATTGAATCCCCGTCCAAGGAGAAATTGGGATTGATCAGGAACTCCTGATCAACCCCTATAAAAGGCACCTCTTGGAACAAGTTTGAACACACACAGAAAACAGTAAGCAAAGCTACTGATTCGAGAGAAAAGGAGGCGTATAGGAAGCTAAGAAAGGTTTAGGAGTGTTCTGGGAGCTAGCAGAAATTTTTTTAAATTTTTTGGCAATTTTTCTTCCTGGGAATTTCTGGAAAATTTCAGATTTCGGTGAATTTTTCGGCGCAGTTTGAATTTTTCGGCAAAATTCCGGCCAACCTTGAAGTTTTAGGTGACCTGCCTAGTTTCCAGCGAAGAATCCCAGAAACTAGCGATCTTCAAGCCAAATTCCAACGAACATCCGGCGAAATTTCCAGATTCCGACGAGATTTTCCAGAATCCGACGAAAATTCCACCGGTGTTCTTCGACCTTTTAGAGAGAAGGGAGAGAAAAAGGGAAGAAGAGAGAGAAAGGGGAGAAGATTTTTGCCGAAAAAAAAAATGGAACTGCCTTTTATACCCTCCCAAAACAACGTCGTTTTGGCTTTAAGTAACCAGAGAATCCGCGCGTTTTGCCGAACCCGACCCGAGCGTCGACCCGCTTTCTGACCCGCGCGTGCTGCCCCCTCCGAGCCAAGCCGAGCCGAGCCGAGCCTCCCAAGCCGCTCCCCCGAGCCGTTTTTCGCCCTCGAGCCGAGCCGAGCCGAGCCGAGCCGAGCCGATAGCCGAGCCGCTCCAGGTTTTTTTTTCTTTTCTTTTTTTTTTCGAAATTTTTTTATTTATTAGATTAGATTTATTTAATATTTTTTATCTTTATCTTATTTTTATTTTTGTTTCACTTTTCTTTATTTTTATTTTTATTTTCTTTAAATAAAATATCAAAATTTCCAAAAAAAAAAATATTTTTAGGGAAAAGTTGAAAGTATCAATTTTCCTTGAAAATAAATTTAAAAAAAAAAAAGATTTTTAGGGAAAAGTTGAAAGTATCAATTTTCCTTGAAAATAAATTTCAAAAAAAGGATTTTAGGGAAAAGTTGAAAGTATCAATTTTCCAAGTTGAAAGTATCAATTTTCCTTGAAAGTCAAAATTTCCAAAAAATATTTTTAGGGAAAAGTTGAAAGTATCAATTTTCCTTGAAAATCGAAATTTCAAAAAAAAATATTCTTAAGGAAAAGTTGAAAGTATCAATTTTCCTTGAAAATAAATTTCAAAAAAAGGATTTTAGGGAAAAGTTGAAAGTATCAATTTTCCTTGAAAATCAAAATTTCCAAAAAAATATTTTTGGGAAAAAGTTGAAAGTATCAATTTTCCTTAAAAATAAATTTTCAAAAAAGGATTTTTGAGGAAAAGTTGAAAGTATCAATTTTTCTTGGAAATCAAAGTTTCAAAAAAAATATTTTAGGGAAAAATTGAAAGTATCAATTTTCCTTAAAAATAAATTTCTAAAAAAACATTTTTGGGGAAAAGTTGAAAGTATCAATTTTTCCTACACAAAAAAAAAATCATTCTTTCCTTCCTTTCTATTTTTATTTTTATTTTGATTTTTCTTTAAATAATCCGACGACGGAGCATCTGCAAGTGAAACAGTAGTTTTTCTTGCATACTCTTGAGGTGAGGAAATTTTCTCAATTTTTTGCTAAAAGTATTAGAGTCAATTGAGAATAATTTCCAACAATTAATTACTTGGTAAAATTTTAAGGCTTTTGGATAACACAAATTTAAGCTGGTACCATCTTTTGATGGGCGTTGTGAGGGTGCTATAACTTTCCTCACACGTAACCGAACTCCCGAACCCTGTTCTAGTTAGTAGACCTGAACCTATTCTTTTAGGGACCCTTAAACTTAAGCGTTCCCTGGAAGGACAGATTCTTTAGGTGGCCAATCGCACCTAGATAAAAAAGATTGGTGGCGACTCCCTAAAAGTCAATGTCTAGCGATAGATCCCCGGATCTAGACATTATGACATGCGCTAAAATGTTTCTTTTTTTTTTTTTTTGGAGAGGTCAATTTTATACAAATTCGATAAAAGATTTAATTTTTTACTTGAATGAAGATAGAAAAAGGTAATAAATTTTTGAATGATAATATATGTATAGTTTTGATCTTTTATCAGATATAAAAATGAAAAAGAATAATATAATATCTATCTTGTATCCATATCCATATTATATATATTTTTATATATGTGTATTTAGTAAATAGATTTAATAATATAAAATTTATTTTAGATTACAGGTGGGTTTGAGGATGAGCAAAACCTATTTCATTGTCGACCGAGATTGGATGGTGGCTTAGGAGGGTTAAAAAATCAATGAATTAAATCAAATAAACAATGAAAGTTATTCAAATAATTGGTAGAAAAGAATATAAAATGTTCAATAAAAAAACAATGATTACATTGATTGGAACAATCATTAGCAAAATGTTAGATAAGGTTTTGGACGTCAAGCTGTTATCTTGATTTGTCAGTCGTGAGCATGGAATGGAATTAATACAGCCAGCGAGTTGAAAGCAGAAGAATAACTGGAATAGTAGGTGACAATTAAACACAAATAATTTATCTGAAAGTTGTGGATAACATATTGATTAGTGAGAATCGTAATGAAAATCGTTTAGGCTGGCACAGGTAGATGAAAATCGTAATGAACCATATTCAATGGAAAAGCAATTTTTCTAATCATTAAGATCCATTCAAATAATAAATGAAATTTATTCTAGTGAAATTAAAAATAATAGTGATCATAAAATTAGATATTATAATAGTTAGAATGAATATTAATAAAATTAAAATTAATGATGAAAATATGTTTTTTATTATAAATATAATGTTGACGATTAAATTAAATATTATAATCGATTTATTAAAGATAATCAATTATAATATTTAAAAACTAGGCAGTTAAATGCCCAACAAAAAATAATAGATTGTTATAATTGAAAAATATCTTTTGTTTTAATTCTACACTAAAGACAGTCAAATATCTTAATAAAAGAAATTAAAATTAAGGTTAAGAAATAAGAAAGTGGCTGAAAATGGAAGATTGGAAGTGGGATTTTTGGCCTTTTCCAAATTCGGATCAAAGTAAATGGGTCTTGAAATCATATTTCACCTGGTGAACCTAGCTGTAAAGGGTGAGGTTTAAAGTTCTAGCAACTGTCAGTAAAGAATGTTGGCACTGACAAGCTGAGAAAGTCTAAACAATAAGAGACTCTCCCACTATTCTCAATCAAAAAAAGGCAAACGTTGGAACTTAGAAGGGAATTTGGGTTGAAATTAGAAATGAGATTTCAAGAAAAAATTGCCTTTCACAGTATGGAATTGCTTGATCTTCACTCAAATGTTTCATCCAAATCCTAAAAATCAGTCATCAACCTCTCACTCAAGCCCACTTTCCGGTCCAGACTAGGAAAAATAGTTGTCACTTTGAGGTCGAAACTCATTTGCTTCATGTAATCACCCGATGATATACAGTAATTTTAGAATTCAAATACCAATATTTATAATCTCTATTCTTATTTCTAAACTATGACTTTTTTTGTAAAAAAGAAAAAAAAATTGATGACTCTTTTTAACTTTAAATTTTTTTGATATAGGTTGCAACCTCTTTTGCTGGCTTGTTTACTTTTCTTTGATTCCTCCGATCAATAGGCCAACTCTGCAGTTTCATGGCCATTGGAGCAAACATGTTCTTTAGGCCAAAAGCTTTTGTTGATTTCACGTTGCAAAGAATGGGTGTGGATTCAATTTCTCCTTACCTATACCTAAAGGATTACACGTTTTAATGGACGTACAAAAAGAGTTCACAGTTTGGCACAACATTAAGATTACTCCAATATGTTTAAATTACCAAAATGATGTTTTTTTTTTTTACAAAATATCGATAAAATTGCATACATTTTCAAATTACATTAATTTTAGATTAAATCAAATTATCGTCTTTGAAATGATTGAATAAATCAATTGAATTAAACTCAAATATTTCTTCCTTGTATTGACAGCTTGAAAACTAAGATAAAACAAAAATACAAAACCAGCTCGGTTCACACTGCCAAGTGTTGATTAATCACCTTTGCGCCGCAAAAATCACAACCTTAATTAAGGATTAATTAACCAATAATATTTCATTAACACAGCAATCTCGGCACGTACTAATGTATCGTCATGTGAATGGCTTTGTTACAAGCTAAAGTAACCGCGGACCATTGGAGGACAGAGCTGTCAAACAAGGCAATGACATCTTGCGACGTGGCACATTCTTGCTGTATGAACTCAAAAACCGAGTCTAACAAAGTAAGAAAGAGGTTTTTGTCTTTAAGAATCTTCCTGAGTTGTTGTATATGCTTTGGATTAAGTCACCAAAATCAAAGGTACCCCCAAAGTATATATATAATATACGTTTTCTTATATGCCATGGCATCAATATTAAACCCAACAAATTTTTTTTTTTTGTTTTTCTTGTTTCTTGTGTTCCTCTAATGAGGTGGATTAGAGGACCTGCCATAGGCCGTGGCGCCACAGCTACCGTATCGCTAGCCACCGCCACCCCTTCTGGTGAGCTTTTCGCCGTTAAGTCCACTGAGTTATGTCACTCAATGTTCTTACAAAGAGAGAATTATCTCTTGTCCAAATTAAGTTGTCCTCGTATTGTTAAATACATAGGCTATAATGTAACAAATGGAACAAATAACAAGCCTATGTACAATCTTTGCATGGAGTATGTCCCCGGTAGCACGCTTTTCAAGGAAATTCAAAGGGTAGGAGGGAGATTGGATGAAGAGAAAGTTAGATTGTACAGTCAGCAGATTTTACAAGGTTTGAATTATCTTCATGATAATGGGGTGGTACATTGTGACATCAAGAGCCAAAATATTTTGATAGGTAAAGAAGGTGCAAAGATTGCTGATCTTGGTTGTACTAAATTGATGGGAAAAGTTGGTTCTAATGGAGGTTTTGACACGTCAGCATTTTCCGGTACACCGTCTTTCATGGCACTTGAGGTGGCACGTGGGGAGGATCAGGGTTTTGAAGCTGATATATGGGCTCTTGGATGCACAATTATAGAGACGAGCACTGGGAATTCCCCATGGCCAGAGCTGAATGATCCGGTTTCAGCTCTTTATAAGTTTGGATTTTGGGGTGAAATACCTGAGATTCCAAAGTGGTTATCTGAGAAAGCCAAGGATTTTCTGAGAAAGTGTTTGAAAAGGGATTCAAAGGAGAGATGGACAGCTAAAGAATTGCTTCAACATCCATTTCTAGAAGAATTGGATACACTTTTAAAGGAAGTAAAGGAATCTACCATCAATTCTCCAAGTTCTGTGCTAGATCATGGTTTCTGGGATTCATTGGATGTGGTGGAAAGTCCTGAGAATTCGATTCCTCGAGAGATTTCCTTGAAGTCTCCGACTGACACGATCAAGAAATAGCTTCAAGGCACTCTGTCACCATCTTCCAATGCTTCTTGTTGGACGTGGAGTGAAGATTGGATAACAGTTAGAAGCAGTGGCAATGACATGGTAGAAGATGATTTTGCATTTGCAACTCCATCATTCCTGGATCCTTTTGAAGAAGAACTTGAAATTGAAAGCTCAATCTTAGATGGGGATTTTTTGTTAGAAAATTCTATAGAAAATGTTATTGATTTTAGCAGTATTTTGGCATTTGATAGTGTAACAGATGATTTTTTTTGTATCAGACAATCTCAATGTTGAGACAGTATTCAATGAAATTTCTTGTTCTATTCCAATCCCATCTTCCATATTTGATTTCTACAAAATTTCCTTTGCAGGCAGACATGACCGGCCGGCGATCAACTCGGCTGATGATAATGAACGATTGGTGCTTGAGAGAGACTGGAAGAGGGGATTGACTCCATTTTTCAATCTATCAGGCAATGACTTTTAACAAAGTCAAGTCTTCTCTGATGTGCAACAAGTTGGAGAAACCAACATGGTTTCAGTTTGCCAACTTTTGTTTGAGTCAACTGATGGAGAAATGAAGACTCAGCAGCATTAGCCTTTTACAATGTCATCATTTCTATCATTGGTAAGCGAATTACTTGTTAAGACCAAGTATTAGCCTTTCACATTCAGAAAAAGAAAAATTTTGTTAGATAATTATATGAGCAATGAAACTATGAAAAAGTTTGGCAATTGTCAAACGGGGTTGGTTGAGTTGGTAAAGTTGGAATATTTTGTTTATAGAGCCTAGATTCAAATCCCGTTGCCAGTAATTTTTCTTTATGGAAAATCTGTAAATCCAATTCAAGTTCTCTCTGCGGTTTACCCTGACCTTGAAATGGGAAGCCTCCTCTTACCTTGAACTTTTATGTACCATAAAAAAGCCTGGTAATTTATAATCGAGGCTATGAAAATTGAAAATTCTCATCTTTTGAAAACCATCAACTGCAGGTTAATCATTCTTCCAGTACTATTCATGAATTGATTAATTGTATATATCCAATAGTAGCCTTCTGGTTTGGGTCCATTTCATGCCATTTTTCCAGTTTCAGGTTAAAATTCATTCAAATTCTGAGAAAGGTCTGGCTGGTTTATTCTCTCATGAATCAAAAGAAAAAAAAAAAAATCTGTTTTTGATTCAAGAAATGTTTGGTTGGCAAAAGTTAGCAGGATAATTCGACAACAGAAAAACTGTGTATAGCCATTTAATTTGAGCAATTAGATGATGTTAAGGCAGTGAAGGACAGATATTGAAAACTTAAGCCAACGCCATGTATCAAATTGCAGATTTGCAGAAGTTCATTCTTGTCATATTTTATCTTATTACAACATATGACCCTGTCTGAGGCATGTTTATGATTCTGTTTACTTCTAAGTTCTAACATCAATTTTTCATCTTGAAGCTGTTGTCCTCTTTGGATGTTCTTTCAGATCATGATGCTTTACATCAGGCTTTAGTTTCATTTCTTCAGCTGCCTCCAATCTCTTTGTTTTTGGAAGCTCTTTGATATAGTAGTGTAATCTATACGTAACCAGTGCAAGGAATAGAGCAAACCCTGAAATTTAATCCTTTAATATGAATGTTAGAAGACTTCTTTTAAAAGGTAATTGGAACTATTTCAAAACGTACACCATTAAGCTGATAATTTGATATTAGACTTGATAATTTTTGTATTCATATTGCGTTTTATACAAAAATTACGTGTAATAATTCGTATTAACGCAAAATACGAAATATATTTTTGGTTTCTGTTAAACTAATCCAGGATTTTAGTCCTAATTGAAATTTAGTCATGATTGCTAGTTAACATTTTAAATTTGTGTCAGATAGTGTAATTTTAAGTCAGATTTTGTGTTTGACCCAATATGAATTGTGATACAGTAATTTTCATATTTTATACATACTTAACATGAAATAAATAGACACAAAAATAGGAATTGCTAATATATATAGTTAAACCTTAAAACTCATACACCTGAGGAACTTCAAATGAAGTTAATGATAGTAAGTTACCCATTAGAGATGCTTCCAAAATTTGATTTGCCATTAGAACCTCATCAGTTGGATTGAGAACACCACCTTCCAATGAACGTTTCTGGATCTCAATTACATTGTATGAGATAGAGATAAAAACAACAAACAAAGTTCCTGCAACAGTCTTTGAAATCACAGGGCCTCTCCCTTCCTTCATCTTGTCCAATACCTTGGTCAGCAGGTTCCTTAGAGGAGACCTGAACAGAAGCACCAGAACAAGAGCCGTTTCAGCAGAAACAAGAGTAATCAAGAGATGAATCATCTCAATCAAGTATTCAAAAAACTACTGCAATGGTTTCTGAGAAAATTATAATACAATATATGGGGTGAAAATTAAGTCAAAAACCCAAGTCTACAATAGAAAATGTTAACAACATGTTTAAAATTTTGGTATCTGCTTCAAAACTTCAGTTTCTGGTTCAATTAGGGAATTATGCTTTCCATTTCTATAGGAAGAATAGAATATATCTTCACTAACAGGAATGGACACAAGATGTATTAACAAGGAAAAACAGAATAACTTGCAGGCTCAGTTTTGAAGCTGCAAAAGTGCTTTCTCTATTTCTTTTTTTCTTTTTTTTTCTACATTCCCATGTCAAAAAATAGTGAATTTAAGTCAATGATTTTATCATGTTGATGGTTAGCAAATGAGTTCATTGTGTGATAACTTGGGCTAAAACTGGGCTTGGGCATCGTAATCCATCTCTCCTCATCTTTCCCTTGTCCTAAGTTTGAAAATAAACTTGATAATTTAAAACATAATATCATCACATGATATAAATATGATACAAAAAAAGATATTAAAATGATATGATATAAAATTTTAATCAAAATTACATATAAAGTTTAATAAAAACTAAAAAAATATATTTTATATATTTTTACTGATATTAATTATGATACATAATTTTCATATAAAATATAATATAAATACATAAATTATTTGTATTTTACATAACACTATGAATTATTATCATGTTTACTCAAAAGAAAACTTAGGAATTAAGAAATCCATAAAGCGAATTGGTTTGAAAATGTTTAGACTCTATTTGGGCTGAAGCATAAGTTCAATACAAAAAAGAGAAAGAATTACAGGCCTCATGAATGATCTATTGGGGGTGCAACATAACCAACTTTGGGCTTCGGCTGGTCCCATAGCTCTCCCAATCCTTTCCATTCTAGGAAAGAAAAGTTGGGCTGGTAATAAATCCACAAAGTTCACCAGTCAAAATAATCCAGAAATGGTGGTAAAGAGAGGCAGACAATGGTTACTTAAGATCAATGAAACAATCTAAATATTGAACTAGATAGGTTATTTTATGATTTTTTTTTCTTTGTTTTTATTTGTTATCTTAAGAAAATTAATAAATCATGAGAATTTTGGATCAAATTGGATAATTCTGATATTAACATCATTACATGAAATGAACTGGTTGATCAGAGATTCATGTCATCCAAGTTCTAACAATACAAAATCCGTTGGAGATAAATTTGATTCAAATAAGAATAAAAAAAGAGTTTGGTTGCAAACTCTTCTTCAACCTCTTCTTGTGTTGAAGAATGAGGATGGGATGCATCATCTGCAAGGTCTCTGAGCTCTGACAAACTTCTTCCAAGCTGAAGAGCGGCTTTCACTTCAAACAATTCTCCACTTTCCCTGTCATCAGCGTCTCCTTCCTCCAAGGTTAATTCTATAGTCTCCCCCTTAAGCCTGAAGAATCCAGCAGAGCTCCTATACATTTCAAACCCCGTACCAATCTGCCCACCATGCTCAAAACTGTTAACAACAATTGCCATAGCTCCAAAAACCACACTGAAAATCACAGCAAATGAGCCACAGAAAGATGATCCCATCAAGGCAGAACAAACTGCAGCCGTGCCAGTGAACAAGGGGCCACAAATAGCTAGAATTTTATTGATTTTCAGCACTATTTTTGCTTAGTTTGATATATTCTTCAGTGTCTTTTCTCTTCAAAACCATAACAATTTCTTTCATTTTCTTCTTCAAGATTTTCATCCCACCCATCTGTTTCTATTTACTGTTGATAATTAGAATGTGGTGCATCTATAAAGATTTAATTATTAATAAATAAAATTAATTTTTATATTAATTTTATTTATATTTTAAGTTGTAAAAAACTTACCAAGCATGGTTCCAAACAAGGGAAGTGGATAAGCTTCATCTAATGCCAAGACTTTCTCCATTGCATGTTTCACATCATCTGAATCTGGGTTTCCAAGAGCAATGATTGTATTTATCTCCTCATGAAGCTGCTTAAACAATCTTGAAGCATTTCTTTGTTCTTCAGCCAGCTGCAACGGCTGTATCTTATATATAACCAGCAAATTTATAACCAGCAAAAGCCGGTTGATGCAATGTAAAGCAAACCGAAAGATAGTTTCAGAACCAAAAATGATGCTCCACCTCCAACGACAGCTGCAATTCCAGCCATTGTCGCCACTGTGACTGTCATTTCATTGACAGAATTCAACAGCAGCCAGTTCCAGTTATCACGCTGTGCTCCAATAGTCCAATGTTCTAGCGCATTTCAACTATTTCTGCTACAATATCCATAATAGCATACATCTCTTGCAACACCATTGAATTAGAGATTTCTTCCTTGGTTACGCTGTTATTTCCAAGTTCAGGCTTAATTTCTATCAGGGATTGGTGTTTTCAAGGTTTTCAACCCTTTTCTTCTGTTAAACCATCATTCAGGAACTTGGAAACTGAAATATTTTGGGTTATAAAGAGTGGCTTTGGTTTTTTCCGAAGGAACTGAGAAGAACGACGAGGAAATTGGTGAAAAAGCTTGAAGAATAGCCACGATCACTTTGCTTGTGATCCAAAGGCTTTTGCAGTAAATACGAGTGGAGATCTGATGTATTTATGCTAGAATAATTGGAAGGATTTTCTACAGAACTTGTCCATGGTTTCATTTTTCAACGTAGTTGAATTTGACTTTCCTTTACGGTTATTGAAGTGTAGAGCGGGTTAAAGACTTCACTTGATTGGTTCACTTGACATTATTTGCTTCTTGATGGGTATTTTTCACTTGACATTTTTCATTCCTAAAGAAAGTGTGAATCAATGCGATCCCAATACTTTAATATTATAAAAAGTACAGAGGAAGTAGGAACTTGAAGAGATCATCACGTTAAGAATTAAGTATTAGAATAATCAATCCCAAGTTTAACTAAGTTTATTTATACAGATATCCTCA